TCCTCCTCATAACTTACTCGGGGTTCCATGACTCTTGGTCCCAGTGCACCAACATCCTAGAGTCATGTCGCTCTATTACTCCTATTAAAGTTAAGAGCTATTCAAAAATCGAAACTTTAAGGCCTCAAAAGGACATAATTCCAACATGATAAACTCCCACAAGTCATTAAAAAGGAGGGTTCATTCTAAGGTATGCAGACAATTCTATGTTCATCACCAAAGGGAGATCCAATACAACCCTCAAGCTCTTATATGTAGATGAGATAATCAACCGTAAGCAACATGTTGCTTATTTAGAAAATAAAAACAAAATTGCATGCATCCCTCGAAATAAAGGAACTTGGAAGCTTAAAATACTGTCTTGGCATATATCTCAATATGCAATGGAGTTACTCGAGGAATTTGTCATGTTGGACTACAAACCAATAGGAAATCCTACTCAAGTAAATCAAACTAAGAGTCAAACAAGATAAGTGAATTCCAAATGCTACTAGGTGTAGAAGATTACCTAAGTAGTTAGGTGCTTCAATACATGACCTTCACAATGCCAAACATTGCCCATGCAATCCATACGGCGTGCCAACAACATGCAAAATCCAAAAAAAACTACTACACCTTGAAGCTGCAAATAAAATATTAAAGCATGTCAAGGGAAAACTAAACATTGGTCTCCTATATGCCTCACAAGGTGGACTCGAACTACCAGCTGTCTTTGACGTCGCCTAGGCAAGCTACCCTACTAATAAAATGTTAGCGGCTGGTTTTTGCATAAGTAAAAAATGTGCTTTATGGAGTAGTATAAAGCAGAAAGCTGTCACCAAATCAAGAACTAGAACGAGCATAGATCCATATCTTGCAGCTTCATAAATTAGGATACACCTAGAGAAGCCAACAAAGATGTATTGCAATAACCAAAATGCTATCAAGATATCAAATAATTCAACACGATATGGGAAGACCAAGCAATTGGGTGTTGATCACCAATCTATGAGGGATGTGGTTCATGATAATGAGACTTTTAACTCTCACATGAAAAAAATGAGACAAGCTTTCCATGCTATCATGTCAACTTGAGGTGGAGTCTTAAAATATTTTTAGCATCTGATGTAAACATACCATTGTTTGGCAAAACATTATTTCTTACGGGTTATATCGTACATCACCCAAAATGGGACTCCTTTATGCATCCATTTAATAATGAAATAAAAACATACAAAAATTTCTTGTTCTTCCCCTAACTAGGTAAAGTTGTAAGCATAGCATATGCAACTTTACAAGGGTAAATAGCCAGGTAAAATGACAAGGTGAGACACACGGTTTGCAAGATATAGGTCTAGCTTTCTGCCTCCCCCATGCAAACCATGCTGACATACCCCAAAACAGTAGGTAAGCATGACAAGGAAAGAGGAACATATGCTTCTCTTACTAAAAAGAACAATTTTTCAACAATTAGAGTTTATAAGATATTGGCAAATAAAGTATAGGATTGTGGCTTTCAAAGGCATTTAGTTATTCTTCCCCAATGCCATGTGCTCATGTTGTGGCTTTTGGCCTAGTGAAACATCATTCTCATTCATGATTCCCCATGTAATTTGCATATTTGTTGTCCTTACTCTCATGGCAATATACATTCATTTTATATCCTACTGAAGAACAGTTGATACTAGTCTATACCAGTATATACTAACAAATTGCAGGAATTGACTGATGTTTGTGATCAGAACCCATACACTACCTCCAGTTACTTAAAATATCATGGTTATGAATTTCCTATGACTTTCCCTACATGTGATTTGATGCTTACTGTGAGCCACAAAAGCATGAGTGAATTCCTCACCATTCTGGAGGGACACTATCGCTCAACGAGCAACTAACACATGGGAAGTGGTGAGCTTGGGAAGTGGGAGATACACTAACTAAAGTGTTGTGCAATGGGTCACGTGGTCCTAACCAATGTAGCATTGACGTCCATTATACAAACCCAAGAATCTGGGTCTAGGTATTGATGAGGGAAAATTGAGCCAATTGCTTTGATTCATGCACAAGGTACAAGTAGTCATAAAATGCACTTGTAGAGAAGAATGTGTAGTTGTAATTGAATTAGTATTCTCGAAAAGATAAATGTGAATTTTGATTCAGTTCCACAAGTCTTATGGGGCATTTTTGGCTTATTATTAGGTTTCTAAATCAACAAATGAACTTACTGAAAATTCTAAGTACCTTGTTATCAAGAATTGTTTTCGAATTTTAAAATTGTTTTCGAATTTTAAAATTGATCTACTTATGTTTGGGAAGTCCAAATTATATATAATCAAACTGCTATTATTTCGGTAATTTATGTCTTAAGAGCATCTAGTAAGTGTCTTCGTCAAGACAACATATCACTTCTTCATAAAATGGTTATCATCAAAAGCCCTTGCTGCTATTTGCTGTGACTACAGGCACTTCAGAACTTCTGATAACAGTGCATTATTCTTCAATTTTCTTGTTTGCTTAAAACCATTCTCGATTCCATACTAAGATGGGCATGGTGGGAGACAGCATACCCACAGAGGGACCTAATTGATGAGATTTTTAATCTGAATGACTCAGTGGCGGTATCATTTAGGAACTTTTTTTTTTTGAGTAAGTCAGTGGGGGAGAAGGCCCCCTACCTGGATTTTTATTAATAAAGAAAAAAGTAACACATTATTTTACAACCCTATAATAGGGTAGTTGCGCCAAATTATGTAATGAAAGAAGGGAAAGAAAGTTTGGCGGACGACTGAGCCAAATCGTTGCGCCTGAATAAACCGTTGCTCTCTTAGCAAGAGCATCAGCTACCATGTTCGCCTCGTGAAAGATATGAGCAATAGACGGCCTATGGGGCAAGAGCCTCGCATGACAATTATCAGCTATTGTTTGTAATCTCCAAGGAGCACGACATCGGTTCTGAATAACAGCTATTAGAAGAGATGAGTCACTTTTTATCTATATCGGGAAGCAACCCGTCTAAATAGCCAAGAGAATACCTTCTTCTAAAGCCTTGAATTCTGCATAATTATTGGACATGACCTCGAAATCTTTAGTCACGTCGCCACAAAACCACCATTGCTATATCTTATGATCAAACCACCTCCTGACAAACCAAGATTGTGCAAAGATGCACCATCAATATTCAGCTTATAACTCTTTGCCTGAGGAAATGATCATGCGACTGCGATCTGGCGTTTTGACTTCTGCTGGCACCAAGTAATTTGTAGGTTCCCAATAATCGCCTTTTCTGACAAATGAAAGGCCCATTTTTTCACTTCTACTAGTGCTTTAACATTAGTAACCTGATTGACAATCTGCTCTCTTCTCATTGCGTTAGATCTAAAGATTCTTCTGTTTCGCTCCTCTCAAAGAAACCAGATAATAGTGAAAGAAATTGTTATCCAGATGTTGAGAAGCCCATCTGATTTGAATTTGAAGGCTAACCAACTAAGAAGAATATCCTGAGCCGGAGATCTGCTAACAGAGGAAAACCCTTCCTATGGAAGTTAATGCATGAGAGCACTTCTTTCCAAAAAACAGTTTTGCTGGCTGAGGGAATATCTAAGACCCTGTAACCTTAAACCATTAGGGACCACACTTGCAATAATTCCCAATACACTATAATTATACCCCCCTAGGAAATGATCTAAAATATCAAAAGAACCTCACAAAGACGCAATTTAGCAAGTCAGCAACCAAAATGGCAACTTTTAAGCTCAAAAGGGGAAGGGATCTGAAATTGGCTGACTCAGACCCGTACATGGCAAGAATCAGCCAGAAAGTCACAAAAGCTTCCTGTGAAATATGTGTTGCTAAAACCACCAATATCCCAGACAGAGCCATCTTGTTTCCTAATTTTAAGCCCTACTCTCTATAAATAAGTCATTTTGGATTGGGAGATAGAGATAGAAACCCTAGAACCCTAAGCCTCTCTCAGCCTTTGACCTCGAACCTCCTTAATCATAGAAACCCTAACCCTAAGAGCTTTGTTCACTGCAATTCCAGGAGACATCAAACCTTTATAAACTAAAAGAATCAAAGCCTAAATCATCATTGAAGTTCAATTCTAAAAACCAACTTGACCCTGGGTCTAATCCCCTTTCATCTCTAAACCTCTAGTTAAAGTAAATCTCAAATATCGAGGAGAAAGATGCCTCAAAATCCTAGTCCGACCTAGGTCCCAACTCAAGATGTCGGCCTTATGGACCCAGTTTGCACCAAGTAGGCCAATTTCCTCTTCTCTAACCTCTTTAATACTTTGGTTCATTCTCTTTCAGAACCCTTTCGAACACATTCTCTTATTTCTATAACCTCATTTGAAACTTGTTTCTTTGGTTTTACGTTTATCGCTAGGCGGCATGGCAAATGGACCATAAAAGGGAATTTGTGAAGCCAAACTCTTATGATCTTTAATTCAACAGGACTTGATCTCTATCGATTCAGCTTTTATATAGTTTAATTGTTTAAACCATGAATGAGAGTGAGCTTTATATATATCTCATTTGGATTTGGTTGTAAACAAGTTCTAACACTGTTATTTCATTATTTATTTGTTAATTTATATCCTTCTCCAGTGCATAGTTGATGTAATTTAATATACATATATATATTCTTGATTTTTAAGGACGTTTGCTTAATCAAGCTACAGCTCCGGCACAAGCACAATATTTCTCCAACTCATGATGCTATCCCATGTAAGATGCATCAAAGACTAAAAGCATATCCTAAGCACAAATCCAGAATAAGAGTCAAAGATGAAATATTTGGACATAAAGAAAAATGAACTGTATTTTCTCCATCTCAAACTAGAAAGTGAATAGTACCAATGAACCTTCAATTTACAGTAGGTGTGCATAACTATGAAAATACAAAAGCAATGTGTGAGAACATCTGCAGCATCATGATATCCAAATAAACATCAGCATGCTCACAATGTGTCACAGATTTCAACATCTCTCGCACTAAAAGTAACTTTTATTGCATACCGTTAAGCTGTATGATGCTTCCAATTCACCAGTGTTCTTTGTAATAATTGTAGCGATCCCAAATTGTGCAAGTGCTTCAAATTTGGGGATTGTAACACTTAGTATCTTTCCGGGACTCCTAAAGAGAAGAAAAATTGTGTCATCCAAACTTGAAAAGGCATGTGTTGAAGGATAAACAGAAGAACCAGTCAATAATAGTTAAAAGTTGAGAAAATATTCAATCTCATTATCTCCAAAACTAAGAATTGATCCATTCCATCCACACCAGCAATAAGATCTATAAAAATTCCAAAAAGATTTGAAGAGTAAGAGGAAAGGTGATATCTAGATTGGCAACAATCTGTTAATATTCCCTTAAATTATTCTAGTTTTGTCAGTTATTGGCTTGCATTCCTTGATTGAAGCCAAGAGGTAAGAAGAAAGTCAATAAACTTTGTTTGGGAGGAAGAGTGTGGATGGTCAGAAATGGGAAACAAACATAAAGAGAAGCAGGTGAAGCCCAGAGAAAGAGAGAGGCAAATCAAGAAGGTGGGGTTCTCAAATGAGTAGTGACAAAGGTAGAGAAAATTGGAGTGGTTTACCGACATAAAGGAATCCATGATCAAATGAATCAACCGAAACACACTTCTTGGCAAATAAGACACGATATTCCTCGAAGAAAAAGTAACTATGAAAATAAAATAGTTGAAACTCGCCTTTGATAAACATATTGAATGTCATCGGCACTAATCTCTATCACAAGATTTGAGTTAAGGACCTCATTGATCCCAATGGAGAATGAATGTGAACCTGCATTCTGAAACATGGAGTTGAAACGTTAGATAAAGATATTTCCAAATTGATAATAACATGTATGCAAACTTTGCAAAGTATGCAAGTATAGTATTTTGAAACATTACTGGATGTTGATTTATTCTTTCGAATCTTTTGTCGATAACATAGAGAGGCATTTGGCTCCGCTTCTTTCGGTTCTCATCATCCTGTAGAACGAGAATGGCATTATATCCAACAGTACAAAATAATAAGATACTGATGAATATAAACAAGATTTTAGACATGTAACATTCTGCCTTCGTAACACATCCATAGATTGCTAGCTTGAGAGCCAATCAGCAATGCTAATTCAAGACAATGATGACCAAGGGAGGTGCCAAGTAGAGATAATTCAAGACCTAGCATAAGACAAATTTCCATATCATGGGGACATGACTTGAACATTTTTATAGCTTTTATCCCATGGAATACTGAAAAACTTCCAAAATATCTAAACAAAATATAACTAATTAGGAAATGCAAAAGAAAAAATGAAAAGTTATTTGAGTGAAAAAATTTAAAATGGAATATTCTACAATAATTGCTTACCATGTTTCATTTCAATATATCATGCCAAGACATTTAGTTCATCAATATAGCATCTATAGAAATTGATTATCAAAACAACTTAATTAGTTAGTATGTTATATCTTCACATTTAAATTTTATTATGTATATGCAAAACAACAAAAATTAGATAACATTTGCATGTAGATCTGTTGGTAAAGCGATCTTAAAATAGATTAGCTTGATGGTTCAATTCTCAATCCATGTTTCAATACGTTATATTTTGTAAACAAATATAATACGGAATGTTCACCCAAAAAATACAAAAAAGAAAAGTACAAAATGGGAAAGAGGTAAATGCCTCTCCAACCAATGGGGTCTAGGCTAGCAAGGAGAACCATTAAATTGAATTGCTCAACAGGTATATTGAGCACAACACAATTCTCACCAATTTTTTGGTCTTGGGAGACCTAACAAAACCAGATAAGGTCCCTAGTTCAGTAAAAACTAAGTCAAACAAGCAGCTTCAATCTTGTTTTACACAATTTTGATCCTACACTGTTTAGAAAATCTAAAAAGTTGTTTATATAGTAAGTCCAGGGATGTGCATAGTTGTAGAACCTTTCCAATTTTCAGTTCCACGCCCTGTTTTCTTGACTTAGCATTGTGGCACTTCTAAGAAATATAGACCTGTTTATTCCACGAGTGCACAAACATAACACTTCTAAACTAAACATACATCAAATATCACTTTTCTACGCAATGCTAGAATAAACTCTGAAGGTGCCACAATTGATGCCAACATGGCCAAGCTAGAGGCTTATTTTCTTTATGTTGGTGTCGGATACGTTCACTGCACTGAAGGTTTCAAATCCAACTACCTTCCAGTAGACTAGTAGAGCTATGGGCTAGGACCATGCCAGTTTTATTTCTTTTATATTAGTTTTACAAAAGATACACATCATGGGGGTTTCTCACGCAGCATAGGTCCAATTACAATTATAAGCTAATTTTTTTGCGCATAACAAAATTATGTAGATTACAACATTGTATAGCAAACCATAACATCTTCCTGAGATCCTGGCAAGCTCCAGGTATATGAATTGGAATAGGTCGTAACCCGGTGTTGGTCCCGCCTATACGGGTCCCGGGAGGGGTGAGCTGGAGACGGTCCTAACCTTTGGCTTTTTATACACAAAGTAGCCACTCTTAGGACTCGAACCGCGCTCTTGAGCTAGCTACCCGATCCTTTTACCGTCACACCAAGTGACAGCCTGAATTAAAGTAATTCACATAAATGTTAGCCATACGGAGAAAAAAGATCAAAGTTCATGACAATACCATGTCAAAATCAATTCAACAACCTAGATAGTTAATTATGCAGCTTCATTCACTGGTAAATGCATAAAGCCAATGTGCCCAATATGACAGCAGGGTAACATAATTAGATATCGCAAGCCAGACATGGATGGAATAAAACAGGAAACAAAATAAAGACTGTCATGTTTATGATAATCCAATATTTAGCTCCCACAATTAACAATTAAACTCAATGAAAGTACAATGACATCATCAAAACTTCAAAGCTAAAATAACAGGTAAATCTTTAAAATCAATGACAGGAACTCAATACCACACAGGGTCAACTCTATCAGTAGAAGACTAACTTCCCAAAAATTCCATAGCTGATTATGCAAGCAACTCCATAGTGGTGACGAGCAAAAGTGCGGTTGCCTGTTGAAAGTTTCATAACTGACACCAATTTTGTTGCATTCATTCCCATCGAACGTAAAGCGCACCCTCTCTAGAAGCATCCATTTTGCATAATTCACACCAAGATTGCTAGGTTGACCAGAGCCTCCCTTCAATCATAATACAACTCTCAGATCTTATCTCTTAAGTAATATAACTCTTTGATATAAAGGTAAAAACTATATACAAGAAGAAATAATGTTAAATCACTATAGAGGGCTTGTAATCAGTCAATCCTATAAGAATACCACAAATAATTGAACAACATATAAATTTCAACTAATCCCGATATGGGAACGACCTAGAATACCATGTGGCCCATGTGAAATAATTAAGAAAATAGATGCACATGTTAAATTTGAATCTCATCAAGAAAGACATAAAATCTCCCTAGATTAGCAAATTGCAAGTCCATTTTTTTGGGCAAAAAACAAGGTGTCAAACACAACTTCTCTTAAGATAGGGGTGTCTGAGATAATATGTAAGTAGAGATGTGCATGAAAAGAAATTTTATCATTCTTTAGAAAAATTTCATTGACTACCGTAGCGAGAAAATTGGCAGTCGAACGCCATTATATTATTGTCATACATTCTCTATATTATATATATAAATATATATGATCTAGAAACTATAGCAGTTAAAACTCCCACCATTCAAAACCTTCCTTGACATTTACACCTATGCGAGATAAGGGCTTCCCTTTCTACCTAGATACACTTTTTACAAGAAATGACACCCACAATTAAAAAACTTCAACAAGAGCACAAGTCAGTCTCTAAGAAATGGCACAACTTAAAATGTGATATTTCGTTCTGATGAAAAGGGAAAACAACAACAACAAAATAAAACTTTTTGAATAAATAAGTGAATCATATTGTAGTCAGTGTAAATCTCAAATAAATAAGCAAAATAACATATAAGCACCACGCTTAACCATCAGAATAAGAAATAATAACTGCAACATACCTTGCTTGGAGTAACAAGAAAGAAATCTTCAAATGTTGGTATGCTGGTGTAACCAACAAAGTCCCCAATAAGATTAGCTCTTAAATAGTTATCACCAGATACTGTTGTCCTATTCTCAGGACTAACAACAACAAACTGCGGCAAAAAAAAATAAAAAATCATTCACTAATCTAGATTTCAAGGTAAGAAAACTATTTTCCCTTATACATATAAATGAAAATTCATGCTTTAAAACACAAAATTTCTACTTCAACAGAGACCCAATTAGAACTCCATACCTACTAATAATTAGAACATAAAAAAACAGTATAGTCCTAATCTTTCAATTTAACTTACCAAAAGATTTATACTAAAAATCAGATAAGTAACTTTCTGATTTCTGAATATTGTATAAAATTCAAAAGAATGTTTTGCCAAAGAAAAATAAATAAATTTATTTCTAAACAATTAATACATTGAACCTAATATGCCATGTTAGCTTTGATCATGTGCCTAATTTCTAGACTTACATTCCCATGAATTTTCTACATCCACCCAAACGAAAATATAATATACATCTATTGCAATCATCAACAAAGGATACTTCAGCGACAAGCCATACATGCAAAAGAATTAGAATTTTCACAAATACATAAATATGGAGAAGGGCATATAAAGTCAACATACAGATGTTGCAGATCTTTTTCTCACTTCAATGCTGACAGTAAATCCCAATGACCGTTTTCCAATGGAGAATACGTGAAACCTTCAGCCAAAGCAGAAAGCCAACTTAAGTAGTATCTTATTTTGTCAGATGAGTGCATGTACAAACATCTGATCTATACTAAGAAGTACAAATCAACACAATAGATAATCTAAGTTAAACATCTATATTCAGCAATACATTCTACAATACCAAGCACCACATTATGGAATCATGTGCATACACGCAAACTTTGAGGTTCAAATAATGCATTACCCAAATCTATAACCAAAAGGGTAGTAGAAGTTATCAAATCATCAAACTGAATTACACATCATAAAAATAGAATATATAAGCAATCAATAACAATATTTCAAGTTGTTAACCTACCACTCATCTGGAAAGCGGAGGCAGTGCGCCACATTTTTTTTCCCAAGAATCCATGTCTTAACTATTCACATGAAGCAAAAATGTGGTCCATAAAGATAGATCCCATAGCAATTGATGTAGAGAGCAAGAGAAAAAAGTGAGCCACAAGTTGCAATTAAACTCTCACCAAAATGATCACAAGGATAAGGGACACGTCGCTTGGATCCACACGGGCAACATATTGGCTATTTGAATGAAAAAAGAAACAACATTGAGTACACCATATAGTATAGACAATAATCATCAAGCAATCAAATAAGCATATGAATTTTAAAATTTAATTGCAAACAACTTAAAGAACCCTAAATAGGACAATAAATTTTAAAAATTTGAAGGTTTCAAACTCTGTAGGAAAATAAGCCTAATGATACACAATATAATAAGAGAGCAAATATATTAGTAAGTTGTCTAGTACAATTGATCAAGAATTACAATATTAAGCAAAACACAGACACGAAAAAAGCCCATTAAAGACAAACATCATCAACAAATCAAATAAGTATATAGATTTTAGTGTTTAATTGTAAAAGCTTAAAGAAGTATGCCAAATGGAACAATAAATTTTGAAAAGTACAAGGTTTCAAACTCTATAAAAAAACAAGTCTAACGATATCATTGTTCAATAAATATAATAAGAGACAAAATGGTGAGAACCACCATATTCATTTTGTCATGTGCAAAATGACGTAGAATTACAAATATCAAGAAAAACTAAAAGAGAGGGAGAAAATCGATTAATATAAAAATCAATCTTTCAATGTAGAGGCAAAATACAAAAAACAACTACAAAGCTCTTGTCATGTTGATATTGCAAATGTACCCATTTGAACCCCTCCCCTCATCCTTGAAACCTCCCATACATCTTAAATTCAATGCAGCTATGGTCACGAAAATATAAACAATTGTGTTTTTTATCTATAGTAGGGAGGCCTTCAGTTGACATCTTATGCATATGTCAGAAGAATAAATAAAAGAAATCACAGTGTCGAGGAATTTCACCGTGAAATGATATCTCCAAGGTTTTCACAATAAGGTTTTCCTTCCAAAAACTTTCAAAATAATCATAAAGTAATATGGAAAGTTTAAAAAAAGTAATAAGTAAATACATTAACATAAACAAGACTATTTATCCCAACATTTTTAAAAACTTTATATTCTACAAAACTACATTTTTCTAGCATATCTTCTAACTGCCAATGAGGTTTCAAAAGAACAACAATACAACATGGGAGACAAGGCAATTATAATTAGAAAAATATGAATATAAAATATTGATAGTAAAATATCTAGAACACTTCCAAGTTAGATAAATTTCTACATTACATGCTTTTGTACTTCAAGCTTAAAGAATACTTAATACATTAAAAATATGATGAGACCAACAAAATCAATACTTACAATAAAAAAGTGTATCATTTAGCATGTCCTCAAAACTTATTCCTTCCCACTTGATTTTTTTCTTTTTTCAATTACTATTGATGGCACTCGATCTAATTGTCCTATGTTTCCTTTCTTTTTGTATTTTTCAGCTTTTCCTTAAAAACTTTAGTACTCTTCTTAAATAATACAAGTCAAGGCACATGGCATTTGGAAATTCCAAGGGTCATGTTGAAAACATCTTGTTGCGTCAACTTCAATACTACTATTGTACTACATTTAACATGTGCACAGCAGTTTCAAAATCTAATATGTGTTAGGCATGTAACAACTTGCAGGTTTTGAAACAAATGAGTAACAAAGGCTCCTCATATTTTTATAGATGAAAAACAATGAAAATAAATATAAATATAAAAAGTACACAAACCACATAAAATTCAAATTATGGGGTAAAAGTTGGCTGTCTTGAAAAATCTCACCAGTGTTTCTGTGAGAACGCCACCACCTTTTCTAGGCAACCTAGAAAAAACAACCAAATCAATAGAAATTAATTTAGTTTTGACTAAATAAACATACATTAAGGTCACATGTTTATAAGCTATATGAAACAATGGGAGCTATGGAACACATGAAAAGTCTCACCATCATGACATCATTTTTTTTTTTTTACTAATTCTCAAACTTAGATAATGTTAAATTGCAGTCACAAATATAATTTAGATGAGTACTGGATATAGAAATGCAAAAAATATGTATTGAATGGAGATATCGACAAATATCTATAACTTTTAATTGTACATTACCATGATAACAATATTATTTAGATTTGATTGTCATTTTGGCAAAGATTGTAGCAAATGAAAACAAAGCGACAAGTAAACACAACTTTGAGACACATTGTTGACCAATTAAACATTTCTAATATTCATTCGAACATAAGAAGAGTAAATTCATTTGGAGGGAATTTTGAGTGATTTTTTTACCCTTTCTTACGCTATCTTCTAAGTACATACCATTCTTTTCATTCTTTAATTACAAGAACAACTCTTTTGTAGGCCAAATGCAACCTAATACATATTATATGCAAACCATAATTTGGGTTCATAATTAATGATTATTCTTTATTCCAAAACCTTGTATTTTTTCTTCCCAAATGAGCACAGTGACTAGTATCTTTCTTGATGATTTCTTATTAATATTTTTTGGATACTTGTGTTTTTCTATAGGGTGTGGTTTGTATATAGCCTAGGCTCTAAACAATCAAATTAGAGCCTACCTTCAAATAGTGTCGAGAAATGTGGTTTCAATGCTGGAAATCTTTGTGATAGCCTTAAAATATATTTTCGTCTTTATTTATAAAGTTTAAAGCTTAAAAAATAGTGTAGATCGACAGATCTATAAGAACTTGAAAGTCTTGAAAATTGATGGTCCAAAAACGTGTTACAAAATGCACTATTTCCAAAACTTGAAATCTATTTTTTTCTGAAGTCCATACATCTTGATATCGAGATGATCAATTTGATGATATTTGGGCATCAAAACAACCTCTTCTAACGAAATTTTTGTGGTAGGCTCCAATTTGATTGTTTAGAGCCTCAGCTCTATATAAACGTTTCCCTTTTCTATAAGCATATTCAGAAAAAATCAACAAACAAAAAATAGTAGAAAAGTTGAACATACCCAAATCATGACTTTCACTAGAGTATTCTACAAACGCATTATGATATCTTATAAATATGGGTGTGGATACATACATGTGCATGTATATTCATATTGAGTAACCAACCTCGTGACTAATCAAATTTTTGGAATATTTAATAGTGGAGAGAGATTTCATACAATAATTTCACGTAATCTAATAAAATGCTCCTTCAAAAACCATTTCAAGGTTATGGAAAGTGTGATGGATAGTCAAGGGTACGAATGGGATATATTATTCAATAAGGTCATAATTTGGGTTTTTATTTAAATAAGGGTATATCTTGTAATTTGTTCCATCTCAATACTATATAAGTGTGACTACTGGCTAGTCTAACGCAAGAGATCGAGTCACTCATTTTACCCAAATTTCTCTCTCAAACCTGCTTCTCTTTTTTTCTTCTCTTGCCTGTACTCATTTTATAATTACCAAATTCAGACCTAGATCTTGATCATTTTTTCCAACTTGGTATCTGTCATAGAATATAGAGAGAAAAGAGAAGAAAAACATATAAGAGAGGAGAGAAATATGAGAAACCTGAGAGGAAAGAGAAAGGAATGAGGTTTAACCCATCCTCACGCGCCTCTCAGGCCTTATATTTTATGATATGGAAAAAACTACCCATACAAATATAATTAGGACACTTTGGTCCAAAACTTAGATAATAAAAGATTTTAGTACCCCCCTCAAGTTGGAGCATAAATGACGCCTACACCCAGCATGGAACAAATTTTTTGGAACATATTATGAATTTACGACAAAGGCCTTTGGTGAATATTTCTACCAATTGATCCTTAGATATCACATATGGAGTAGACACCTGCTTACTCGCAACTTTTTCTTGGATAACAGGCTACTTTAATATGGTTGGTCTTTTCATGAAACACTGGATTACTGGCTATATAGGTGACAGCTTTGTTATCACAATACATCTTCATATGTTCAGCAATAGTAAAGCCCATCTCCTCCATCAGTGTTTTCAGCCACATCAATTCATATGTAGTGTGCGTCATTGCAATACATTCAGCCTCAGCACTAGATCTAACCACAACTTTTTATTTCTTACTTCGCCATATTACCAAGTTTCCACCAATGAATGTACAATACATGTTGTAGACCACTTGTGATATGGTGATCTTGCCCAATCAGCATATGAGTAACCTTCAATGGCAAAATGATTATTTGGCTTGTAAATCAAAACTCAACCTCGGGGTCCCTTCAGATACCTTAAAATTCTATGAACAGCATCCCAATGAGGAATCCTCGGAGCATGCATAGATTGACTCACAACACTTACAGCAATAGCAATATCAAGTCTGGTCAGCCTATCAACCAGTCTTCTGTACCTTCTTGAATCCTCAAACAGCTCCCCCTAATCGGCCAATAATTTCCTATTTGAATCCATAGGACAAACATTCAAGTTACTTTGACAAATCTGTCACATATTGTCTTTGGGACAACCTAATGCCATACTTTGATTTAGCTACTTCAATTTCCTAGAAAATACCTTGGTTGACTCAGATCTTTTGTCTAAACATATTGTTTTAGATATCTCTTCAAATGACTGATTCGTTCTTGATCACTGACAGTAACAGCAATATCATTAACATAGACAGCTAAAACTATTATTCTTGTTGGGGTTATGTGGCCATTTAAAGGCCTTATGAGATCATGTACTAAAAGCATATAGTGAAATGTTGGCTCTAGTGGCAGTGTGATCCGCGTTGGATAGTGAGCATTTCTGATGCCTAGACTCACCTGAGCTTTGACTGGCTACTGCTCAACGTGATCTTCAAAAACCCGTAGTCCTAGGCAATTTGTGAACACTTTTTGATGTGGGTTTATCGCTTGATGAGATCAAAAATGTGCCCAAGACAGTAGGCCAGGAGCCATGGATTTGACCCCCGTATGTGATGAATGGCCTGAAAGGACAAGGGCCTAAATCCTCATCATTACCATCACACGCCATATACATCAGATAGTCGTCTGAGAAGCGACCCTTTTGGATAAGGTTGTGTAACGTGTACAAGTGCAGCCCCTGCAACACTGGACTGTGTTGGAAGGACCCATGGAGCAAACTGTTGAAATGGGACCTGGACTTGTCCTCACTGAGGGACCTGTAATCCATGGATTAAGATCGTACCTCCTTCACTTATTGGCTGACTTTGATAACCCAATCATGAATCCCTGCGAAGGGCTGTGAGTCAAGAGAACTATTGGATCAGTTTGAGAAAGTGCAGTGAGATACAATCTCTAGAGAGGATGGAGGCCTCAATATATTTGTCGTAATCCTAACTCTATGGATCCAATTCCCATCAAATCTTCTTAAAAAAATTTAAATATGTTTTAATTATTTTTCAGATAATTAAAATGAACTTTTAAACCTCTCTAGGTATTTTATTTTATTTAAAAATAATTTTTAAATAAAGAAAAATCAATTTTCTGAATTTATTTTAATTAAAAAGAAAAATAAAATATTTAGAGGTTTTATAAAATTACTTTATTATCTGAAAATAATATTTAAGACATTGGGGCTCATTGGGCCCACCAATATATGGGGCGTAGAGCCCGCATGGACACCCTGGGTAATGTGCCCCACCTCCTCATACTTTCCTAAATTGAAATACGACAATTAAATCATGTGCTGAAACATTTAGAAAACTGTTTGTGTGGAGATTTTGACTGCTTTTAAAAAGGAAAAGTGGAAGAAAATAAATGAAATAGTGTTAATATTTTCTATACACAATATTTAATGGGAATGGAGTTATGGAACTATTTCCTTTAATCATGATGGTTGATCTAAGAAATGAATGGATGAGATCTATTCACCCTACAGGTTTCCAAGATCAAAGGTCAAGATTAAATCTCATAATGATAGCAAGACCCTAACCCTAGAAACCCGAGCCTTTATTATATATAAACTAGCTATGGGGGGTTCATTCTCTACACCCTAACTCTCTCTCTATCTTTGAGCATCAAAAGGGTGACATGCCCCTCTCTAAACTTCTCTCTTCTTCTCTCTCTAAAATTAGGATATATGAAAGAAAACAAACCCTAAGGGGTGGCACGCCTAAGGCACATAGCCTAGCCCTAGGTCTTGGCCTTATGCTCATGTGTTGAGCCTTGATCAAGGATATCACATGTTGTGTTCTTTGCTGGTTTTCGCCTAAGCTTCCCAAGTTATGAGATGAGATTTTCAACCAAAATCCCGTATGTCACTAATGGAGGAGACCCAGTATGGGGTGTATGAAGTCCTTAGGAGTAATCTGAGGCAAGATATGTAGTATCTTCTTGTTTCTTGCTTACTTGATTCCATTGTGTCTTTTATGTTTTTTTTTAATGACAAGCAAGTGAGAGTTCTTAGAAATTTTATCTAGTTTATATTGTATTTGGATACTTGTGCGTGATTCGGGTGGCAATATAACAAGAAAAGATAGAAAAATTTTAATCGGTATTGACTTGTCCGGTCACATAGTCCACCTTTCAATTCTTGAGTCTTCATTTCAAATAAACACTAAATGATCTGCATGACTACACCAAAATCCATATGTTATAATAATTTCACTAAACCTTTTTAATCCACGCTTGTGGAGAGTGTTTCAGGCCATAAATGACTTTCTTCAACTTACACACTTTATCTTACTCCCCCTGAGTGGTTGCTCCATGTACGCCTATTCTTGTAAATCACCATGGAGGAAAGCACTTTTGACATCAAATTGCCACAACAGCCATCCCTTGTTGGTGCCTACAGATATAAACACTCAAACTGACTTAAGTTTAAAAACAAGAGCAACTGTTTCAAAGTAGTCAATGCCAAATGTTTGTATCCCTTGGCAACCAATCTGGCCTTTAATCTTTCTACAGTACCATCAGGTTCTTTGAGCAGCAACTTTTTGAGCCAAAATCAACGTATAATCTTTCGTTTTTTGAACAAATTGAATCATGAATCTGATAAATAACTCGATTATCTATCAAACCCCCAAAGTTTTTCAAGAAACATTAGGTATTGAAGATATTATTGAAAGAATGACGGAAATTGTCACAAACCTAAAAAATCCCCCATTTTGATCCAAGAAATTCTTTTTTTTTCTATGTTTCAATCCAAATTTCTTATTTTATAGATTCTAGATAGTGATTTATAGCAATAAATCACGAAAAAAGACAAAAAATGACACAAAACAAATCAAAAAAATGTGAAATTTTTTATTCAAGTATGCATGCTACATATAACGGCCGTAACAGGTACATTAGCGTTATTTAATAAAAAACGTCTGTTATATCGTCTAACCGATCCGGTTAGCAGAAAACTGGCCGGTTTGATGAAAAATGTGCCTGTTCGGACCCTAACCGGCCGGTTTTGGGCCAGTCATTCTATGGGGAAGTATCCAAAGCTACTAGACACCCAAAACCGGCCATAACCGAAACCCTAGCAGTTCTAATCTAACCAGCCGGTTCCAGTTCAAGCCTATCTTTCTAACATTGGTCATACCCTAACCAAACCTTCCCCAGAACACTATCCTTAGTTCTACTTCATTTAGACCTTTCATTCCATTTCTACCCAATTATAAAAAAGACCCAAAACCCTATTGCTCTAATCTCTCTAGGAACCTAAAACCCTTAAATCATAATTTAATTAAAATTCCTAGTCATACCCAAACCGTCTGTTCTACATCCATTTCATGTGTCACACTTGTGTATGAGACAAGCCCCTCGTTTCAACATTGATAACCACATGTAATCCACCTATTTTCATCAGCCAATTTCAGAATCAAGGATATTGTCTCAAGAAAAATAAATAAATTTTGACTCATTTCAATTTAGTGTAAGTTACTCAATCGCCGTCGACGTTCAAGGAATCTTAAGTTTTACAACAAGTAAGTTAATCGCCTTAAAAAAGACGCATATTGTTACCCTAAAAAAAAGATTCATATTGTATCACGCAAGTTCATTTCAGCAGTCAGATACTTCCTTGGTTAGGATCAAGTTGAAAAGTAAACTTCAAACTAGAAGAACCCATGATGCAAATGAATAAAAGGAAAGAAAACAACCATATCGATGAAATAGTATTTCCATATATTAACTGCAAAGGGAAGTCACTTGCCCAACACAACCTCCAACAACAGATTCACCGGCATCTGGTTTGCATTTTCGTGTCTTGACAAATAACTCTGTAGGCTTATATGCAACATCCTAGATCATAATAAATTCCAAATGAGTAAAGTTTTTACTAAATGGAACTTCCATTAATATAAGCCAAAAGTAAAGCTCACAGGAAAGCAAACTAGGAAATACGATAAAAGATGCTCAGTCACAGCAGCAATTTCAAATAAACAAAACATACACTTGCACATCCATGAACTCTAAATTTATCATCCATATAATTTTCATTTACCTATTACCTGAATGTACATTAACTCATAAAGAGCATATGCAGGGGATTTTTGTATAGTAATAATGAGTGATGTTTTTATAGTTTGCATCTTTCCACTTGAAACATTTTCTGCCTCCACAAGCTCAGCTTCAATAGAAGCCTCTCTTCCACTCTGTTAAATAACCACGCATGTTAAAATTCATAAAATTGTGAGGAATATGATACCCCTATTCCTAGATTAACTCATTCATCATATGGACAATTAATGTAAGAGATTGAATATTCCATAAAACAAAAACTAACACAGGGAATAACATGCCTATCAGAAATTTATCCTCAAATTCCACAATTGTAAACCGTCAGCAAGCCAATTATGAAAGTTCTGACCTATTCTTACTTGCTGAAAATTATAAGTTTTCTTTTTGAACAAAAACAGACTATGGAGTGGTCAAATCAAGAAGTTAGCTTGTACAAACCACGTTCCTAAAAATTGATTATGTAGTGGTCAATGACTAACAAGTTAGTTTATACAAACCACGTTTGCAAATCTAGACACTCATGTGCTTTGAAGCATATGCATAATTAAGAGTCTGAATTTCAGCATGTATGAGATTATGCATGGAAGTACACATCTTGAATTTGCTTTTCTGGTTGATTGCTTCAAAACACAAATAAATAAATAAAATGTTGAAAACTATCAATACCATGAATATTCAAAATCACATAATATGCAACCAAAAAATTCTATATCAGATAAAGACTATAATCTAGAAACACAATAGAAAATTAATTAAAATTGTTGGAACCTGTACAATCCTTCTGTTATGGAACAGTAGTGACAAAGCAATTGCAATTCTCAATTGGTGTCCATGGCATCTATGCATAATGAGCTCTTTTGAATTCTCGTATTACACATAACATTATTCACTTTTCACTTAACAAGTGATGCATTGACGAAACTTCCATAATAACCTCCCAAGAAATTCCAGGATTTACAAGTGATCATGAGGATTGTATTCAACAGTCCAATAGAATCCTAATAATCTCAATGGAAATTTTAAATTACAAATGTTAGGTAAAATAATGATTTCAAAGTTTGGAAAAATGAGTCCACTTAGGGCATGGTTGGATGACGGTTAATCTTATCAAGAATAGACTATTTTATCTTAAATTAATACATACTTTAGATAATATTATTTTCTTAGTTGTTTGGTGCATGCCTTGTGTTGTATATAATACTATCTAAGTATTTAAGGTTTTTGGCAACTTTCAGTTATTTTAGTTATTTATTGCTAAAGACATGTGATGAAAGAAAGACCTATGTAAACTTTTGCCGGATAAATACAAATTTTTTTTTTTTAAATAATAATCACCCCTTATAATTTTGACAACAAGATCACTCACAGATGGTCTTTTTACAAACAATAGAAATTCCAAAAATTAAATAACACATCAATAAAATAAATCTCAACTACTTGATGCCATTCATACAACCTAATATTGTGCTTGAGAATATAAAATAAAATAACTTAACAAATAAAAGAAAAGATGTCAGAGATTACTTCAACCGGGCTTTTTACACCCCCACACGGAGTCACCACATTCAATGACACGGGATATGTGGTTTAGCTTCAATCTCGAACCGAGATAGCTGATTTCGGCGAACTAGGTAACCATCCCTTAAAATCTCTACTAAAACTTTAATCCCCTTAATTAACTTAGGTCTAGAGAGGAGAGAGTACCACCTAAAACTTGGAAAGAGAAAGATGGAGGAGAGAGAGAGGGGCATCCCTCTAGGAGAGAGAGAGGTTATGGGATAGAGAGAGAGAGGTTGTGTAGAGATTGGAGGAGAGCACCCCTATTTATAGTGAATATTTAGGTTTAGGGTTTTTCCATAGTTTGCCTCTTTCATGAGATTAAATCTAGACCATTGATCAAGGTGACTTGTGGGGTGAGAGATCTGAGCCATCCATTCCATAGATGGGCCATCAACATTATGGAAAGTGCTTGAACTATTATCCCCCTTTCCTTAAACCTTTTTTCCATCATATATTTAAATAAAATAAATATCATGCATTCCATAAAATTGCATTATCCATGTTACGTGTTCCACAAGGATATGTCAAATATTATCAAGTAAATAAATACTATCAAATATAAATAAGATAAGATCAATATTTAATATCAATTCAAATTGTTCATATCTCTTTAAAACAAACTTGCTATAAAACAGATAAAGCCATGGTAAATATTTCCCTTCCAAGATTTAACCATATGCCACAAAACAAACTTACCTTATCTTAAAAACTTGAACATAAAGCATAGAGAATCCAAAGAGGGTGGGACATGCCACCCTTTTGTGGTACATGTGGGCCCCCCACCCACATGCCACATGGTGGGCCCACGTGCACTATGGGCCCCCATGGAATTTTTATAAAAAAATATATT